CAATCTTTGCACAAGTTGAAACAAACCCTGAAAGTAAATTTTCTCATCCATTGAGGGACAAAGGAAGTCTTTAACCAGTGGTTATACTGCCACCTACAGGAGGATTGGACACTGGCAACCCAAAAACTGTAGGCTAACTGTGTGATTTTGCATTTCCAAGTAGGAGGTGCGCCCTACCCACATGGTCATTGTAGCTGGATGCTTTTCAGTTGTTTATATAAGTGAGCACAGGGATCTCTCTTTGGTTGCTTAAGACATTACAGGCTGTCCCCACTCTTGCATGCCAATCCTAATACGTGATTTATAATCAGTTTGACTGCTAAAATGCCAGGACAGCAATTCCCCCCCCCCCCCCCCCCCCCCCCCCCCCCCCCAATGACCCCTTTTTGGAAAGTAGACAACCCAAGGAATTTGCTGAGAGGCATACAGAGTCCATGGAAGATTTTATTTTTTTGCCACCAAGTTTTGAAAAATGACCTTTTTTTTTTTACACAAAGTGGTCAATTAAGTGATATATTGCTCACACATGCCATGGGTATATGTGGAATAACACCACAACACACATTCTGCTACTTCTACCAAGTATGTGGGACTTTTTGTCAGCTTATAGTTACATACAGGCCCTGAAAAACTAATGACCACCTGCAGACTCTCAAAGGGCATATTTCCTCATGTCACTTCCTCACTACCCTAGAGAATAAAAAGAGGGAATGTTGAAATTTTTTTTATGTAACAGTATTTGTGCAGCAATTTTTCAAACTCAAATTTTTGGGAAAAAATAGACTATTTAGAATTTTAATGTACAAAAACACAATATATTGCCCATCTGTTTGATAAAAACTAAAAGATGATGCTACGCCAAGTAAATAGATACCAAATATGACATGCTTCAAAATTGTGCACACCCCTGCAGCGGCGACAAACTACGTAAATTTTGAACATCCATAGGAGATGTTTTAAAAGCCTGTACAGGTCACCATTTAGATTTACAGAGGTGGTCTAGTACTAGAATTGCTGCCCTTGATCTGACATTCCCAGTGATACCTCACAAGCATGTGCAATCTCTGTTTACAGTACATGTTGACACGGGACCGCCGCTTGCATTTGCTTTTGTATGCGAGCACGGGGATGGGGATGATTTTTTTTTTTTTAATATTTACACTGTTAATTTAAAAAAAAAAAAAAAAAAAAAAAAAAAGACCAACCATTTTGAGAAAAAAAAAATATTTTTGACATTTTGCTTCTAAACAAGTCCAGCAAAAAAAATGTAAAAATCAAATTACGTCATAAATTTAGGCCAAAATGTATTCTGCTTAATGTCTGCTAAAAAAAAAAAAAATCCCAATACATGTAAATTAATTGGTTTACGTGAAAGTTATAGCGTTTACAAATGACGGTGACGATCAGTGACTTATAGAGGGATTGTGGCGGGCATTCTTAAACGGAGGGGGGGGGATGGACTGACTTGGTGTCACTGACATCCCCCGTGACACCAATACAGCGATCAGTGCAGCAAAAAAAAAAAAAAAAAAACAGTGACACTGTACAAATGGCACTGGGCGAGAAGGGGTTAACATGAGGGGCGATCAAAGGGTTAACTGTATGCCGTTTCACCATGTGCTGTGTCTGTGTGCTTCACTGTCAGCACACTGCTTTGCAGTGTGCACGAGCTGACAGGGAGAATTATTTTGTTTACAAACACTTCTCCTCCCCGTCGGAGATGCTTGGCAATCACCGGGCACCGGTGAGTAATTACCAGCTGGGACCCAGTGATTGACAGCCGCGGCTGGAAATTTTTTTTATAACCGGAATTGCAAAATCACGTATATATACACTTTATTTTGCGCACCTGTGCCGCCCTGTAGCAGTATATCTGCTATAGGGCGGCCGGGAAGCGGTTAAACATTTTTCACTTTTTTTTTACACTTTGCATTGCAGGAGCAATAAACAATTTTTGCTCCTGCAATGCAATGTTTGCTTTGAACTGTCATGAATGGGTTAAGTTCATGATTGTTCAAAATACAGTGATCAGCTGCAGCTGGTCTCATGGTACAGTGCTGTGATTGGCCCCATGTGAGAGCTGTGGGTGAATCGCAGCTCTCCAGGAACAGAAGCAAAGCTGTAATGAATAAGATTGAAGAGCGTTGCTTGCCCGCTAGAGTGTGCAGTGCCCCCTGTGTTGGTATAGTCCCAGCGATGTATGTGTCACTGGTCTTGTAGCTGCCGCCCATGTGGGTGGGAAGTGGTTAAAAAAAAAAAAAAAAAACAAGAACACTAGTCCACAAAACTGAATGTTTTCTTGTGCATAAAGTGTGAACCAGCCCTCAAGCAGCAAGAATATACATAGTAGACACAGAATATACATTTATTCGATCTTAATTTAAAGTCAAGACCTTTTGTGCTTGCAAAGCAGCTTCCCTTTGTTGCCATCTTTTATAAAGACCAAAAAGAGGTGTGGCTCCATCCACCCACTGAATAAGCCCAGATCTTGTGCCAAGGGGTGTGACTGAATAGTGTCTTGCACGAAAACGGGGAGACTCTTGACCATTAATAGTTGCAAACATGGTATTTACAATAGACAGGAACTGCATAATGCGTTCATCAAGATGCAAGTCTTCCAAACCTGTTAGGAAAGAAAATGATGGTCATAAAAGTAATTAAATCAAAACACCACAGTAGCTTAAAAAGCATAAATGTGCATTGATACTCCATTACCTTTGAAAAGATATGGGTAGTTTTTTCCCATCAGATCCCAGGAAGATGAACTTTTTTGGTTTAGTTTTTGTAGGTAAGATAGTGATTGTACTGCCCACACTGTGAATTGTGATGGTCCCTGTCTGACACTTCCCCTGGTAAGGCAATTTCAGTGTTTGTCATTGATGCTAAGCAAGGGCTAATTTCTTCAAGTCGTAACAAGTAGCTTGCACGTTTCTGTGCTCTTTGCTGCAAGCTTAGCATAACCTGCAAAGCAACAGAATAATTTGGTGTAGAATAATTTCAATAACTGAGAACACATATAAACTGTTTGAGTAAAATGTGCAAAATGCCACAGAAGGAAAGGAAAAAAAAAAAAAAAAAAAACCACAAGAAGGTGATCACCTGTTGCACTACGTGACACAGACAAGCTAAAGGGTGGATAAAGAAAAAAAAGACTTTCAATGGGGTTGGGTAAAACATCTACTGCTGCACAGATGTGATTTGTCCTTTCTTCACACACGAAACAGCAATGGAAGCCAAATGTAATTCATTATGACAGAATCTCATAAAAGTATGTGTATATGTACCAATTTAAGTAATTTTGATTCTGCTAAATGTTTTATTTAATACTATTGGTTCCCTTAAGGGCCAGTACACTCCACATGCAGTCCAGAGTGTTTTTTTTTCTGTAAAAAAATGAACGGATAATAGGTTATATGGTTTCCAATGGCATAGTTCACACCAGTAGTCAGTTCCAGTGCTTTCCAATTTAAGAAAAAAAAAAAGCTTTTTTTTCTGCACTGATCTGTATGGGAATATGGTAAAATGCATCAAGAACACACCTAAAAAGGTATCCAAAAAAGCATATGTTCTTAAGATGAAGAAAAAAAAAATGGGGAGAAAATGCACCAGAATGCATCCTAAATGCGTATGTAAAAACGCATCTCGGCTGCATTTCTATGGTGTGAACTGGCCCTTGGACAACTATGTCCTCTTACAGAAATGTGGTTTGCTTCTTATGATCAAATTCGCATTATTTCCATTTAGAGGCTGCTATACAGGAGTCACAATAGTTTATACCCTTTATGTTTTAAATACCTGCTTGAAGGGTGTCCAGCTGTTTCCAGGATTAGCAGGATTGGATGGATTTCTAAGTTTTTCCAGAGCATTTTCAATGGCCTCTCCATAGGTGTCCTGGAACCATTTTTCATGAGGTGTTTCAGCTGGTGCTGCAGTGATACTACAAACATGCTCAAGGGCAAACACAATAGGTTTCATGAGTGCAGTGTGCTTTTCACGCATGATGGCAATCTTTTCCTCCCTAATGGGAAACACCACAAGAGCAAATTAACAATAAATTCAGAGAGAATGCCAAAAGCACATGAATCAGAACTAATCACACACTTTTAGATACAAAATGCTATAGCAACATATATATGGACGTAACAGTATAAAATAATGTTAAATGTTCCCTTTAACTGCCTCCCGACCACCCTATAGCAGAACTATTGCTACAGAGCAGCAGGGCTGCACAAAATCATACATATATACATGATTTTGTATTTCCAGGTAGGGGGTGTGCACGTGCCGGCATTGGCGGCTACAGATGTCGATCGCCAAGTCATAGCCGGAGAGATTCCCCGCCGGCACCCGGCAATTGCCAAGGAAAATTGACAAGGGAGAGGTCCATATGTAAACAATAAAGATCTCTCCCTTGTCAGCGCCAGCATTCTGCTTTGTATTGCTCTGCATAGCAGAGCAATACAAAGCCGAATGCTTACACAGTAAAACACCCACACAGTTTGTAAAACAGCACACAGTTAACTCTTTGATCGCCCCAGATGTTAACACCATCCTACCCAGTGTCATTAGTACAGTGTCATTGCTTTTTATTAGCACTGATCACTGTATTAGTGTCACTGGGGATGTCAGTGGCAGTTAGTCAGTTCCCCCTCCAGTGTCAGAATGCCCGCCGCAGTCCCACAGTCGCTGATCACCGCCAATACTGTAATTAAAATAAAAAGATTCAGTATATATACTGCCATTTGTAGACGCTATAACTTCCATGTAAAACAATTGACAGGCATACCTCAGTTTACAAATTTATTTCATTCTGCGGGACTTTTCGTATAGCGAAAAATTCGTAACCGAAACGCCGTTTCCCATAGAATGCATTGAAAACCAATTAATCCATTCCTGAGGTCAGAAAAAAAGTAAACTATACTAAAATACCACAAGTTATTTTATCAAGTCATGCAGTATTTTTAGTAGTGACAACCATGTGTTGTTTCAGCTGTCAGTGGGGTTCCTCACTGACAGCTGAATGTAAAAAAAAAGTGCCGGCAATTAAAAAAATAAACGGCATGGGGTCCCCCCTTCCATCCATACCAAGCCCTTTAGGTCTGGTATGGATTTTGAGGGGAGCTACCACGCAAAATTAAAAAACAAAACAAAAAACAAAAAAAACAAAAAGGGCGCCCCCTCCCCCCGAACCATACCAGGCCGCATGCCCTCAACATGGGTGGTGCTTTGGGGCAGGGGGGAGTCCCCCCCCAAATCCATACCACAAGGGGCTTTGGGGGGAGCCCTCCCTGCCCCAAAGCACCCCCCATGTTGAGGGCATGTGGCCTGGTATGGTTCGGGGGGAGGGGCGCCCTTTTTGTTTTTTTTTGTTTTTTTTAATTTTGTTTCCTTCACTATAGCTCAGAGAGATTCAGCTGTCACTTTCCCCCCCAGCTAAAAGAAAGTTTCCTTTTAGCTTATTTCCCAAGTTAAAAGAAACAATGTTTCCTTTTAGTTTCTTAAAAGAAACTAAGCTTCCTTTAACTCTGGGGAAAGTGACAGCTAATTCTGTGAGCTATAATGAATAAAGCCTACAATTGCATTTAAAAAACAATCAGCACCGACATACAGTTCATATTGTGAAAAAAATTTGTAAACCGAGGCATTATTTTCATTCGTAAACCAAAAATTACGTTAACTGAGGTAAACCTGTACACATATTGAGATTTTATTCTTAGCAAAGACTGTGTCAGGTAGTAGAATACATTTTGGCCTAAATGTATGATGAAAATTAATTTTTTAAAATTTGTGTTTTTTTATGTTTTATAGGAAAAAGTCAAAAATATTGTTTTTTTTTTTCTTCAAAACTGTCAGTCTTTTTTTGTTTATAGCGAAAAAAAAAAAAAAAACCCGCAGAGGCAATCAAATACCACCAAAAGAAAACTCCATTTGTGGGGAAAAAAAGAACATAAATTCCATTTGGGTGCAGCACTGCATGACCGCGCAATTTTCAGTTAAAGTAACGCAGCACCGTATCGCAAAAAATGGCCTGCTCAGGAAGGGAGGTAAATCCTCCGGAGGGCAAGTGGTTAATTCCATTTTTTTTTTTTTAAAGTGTATCTAACCAATCAAATACAAATATGACTGAGTGGATTCTGTACAGCTCATATAATTTTGGACACTAGACACTGTATAAGTCTTGCTATAGAAAGCTGAACAATTAGAGGTTTTTCCTTGTTTAATGTACACCTGTCATTTTTAAACTATGGAAGGTATGAATCTTTTAAGGGTAGGCCCCCCAAACATTCAAAGTGTGGACAAAGAATTCCACTGAGGTATTACCCTGTCCATTGTGGGTTTTACCCCCATTCACATTAATCTTGGGAGTCCTAGGAGACGGGATGTTTAAGCCCTTGTTCACACCATATGTGTAGAAAATCTGATGGAAAAAACACGCAGAATACACTTGCAGAGACAGGTTTATATCAGTTTTCATGCATGTTTCAATGAGTTCTATACACACTGGAGATTATTGCAGTGTGAACAGGGCACAGAGAACAATTGTTTTCTTTGTGCCCTCGCAGAATGAGTGCAGAAAAACTCAAGTCTCTGCACATGGAGTGAATGAAGCCTTAATCTTTTCTCCTGTTTGAATAGAGGAAGTAATGTGCAGGGTGTTACTTTATCATACATTTGTTATGTCCTAATTTGTGTTAAAGGATCACTGAAGTGGACTCCACTGTACATATATCTTCCCCACGTAACATACCCTGTCTTAACGGCACAGTCAACATTTTCCTCTTTGAACCGGCTACTGCTAAAGAGGTTAAAAACTTTTCTCAGATGCCCGCCTAACCAACTGTCCTCTGGATCCTGTTCCCTCAACTACTGCAGTCACCCTTTTCTATCCTATACTCTCACATCTTCAATATCTCCCTCTCTACTGGCACCTTCCCCTCCCCCCTTAAAACATGCACAGATCACCTCCATACTTAAAAAGCCCTCATTGGACCCCACCAACCTGAACAACTTAAGACCCAGCTCCTTGCTCCCATTCACCTCAACTTTTAGAAAGCTTGGTCTATAACCGTCTTACCTCCTACCTCACTGACAACAGCCTTCTTGAACCCTTATAGTCTGGCTTTCGCTCGCAGCACTCCACAGACACTGCCCTACTAAAACTCACTAATTTATTAACTGCTAAAAACCAATGGCTACTAATCCGTACTCTATTACTAGACCTCTCTGCGGTCTTTGATACTGTTGACCACCCACTCCTTCTCAAACTCCAATCCATTGGCCTCAGAGATTCAGCTCTTTCCCAGTTCCCCTCCTGTCTATCCGAGCGCTCCTTCAGTGTCACCTATAATTTTGTCTCCACCTCTCCACTTCCTCTTTCTGTAGGGGGCCCCCAAGGCTCTGTTCTTGGACCCCTTCTCTTCTCCATCTACACATCCGCTCTTGGTCACTTGATATTCTCCCACAGCTTCCAATACCATCTCTATGCCAATGACACCCAAATCTGTCTACTCCTCTCTCCACTCCTTCAATCTCCACTCACATTACTAACTTGACAGCATGGATGTTGCACCACTTCCTTAAAGCAGAGCTCCACCAAAAACGTGAAGTTCTGCTTTAAGGTTTCCTCCCCTGCTCGTGGTAATGAAATGGCACTTTTGGTGAGCTGGGCAGGAGTGGATGGGTGGAAGCGAGGACCTGATTTTGTACCTGCTACCACTTCCGCTCTGAGCACCTAGGCAACAGGAAGAGAAAGTTCTCCTCCATCCCAGCAGTCTTCTGTGACACGTGACAGGTCCCCGGAAGACTGCAAGACCATTCACAATGCGCAGCCCGGCTTGCGCATGCACAGTGGGCACCTAGCTGTGAAGACGCAAGCTGTCACAGAAGGTGCCCACAGGTAGCATGCCAGCGCCAGGGACAGATGACAGAAGACAGAAGAAGAAAACAGCTGGAGTGAGCCCACAACTGGATTATGAGACAGGTGAGTTGGCTGTTTATTGAAAGTTTTGAAAGTCAGCAGCTACAGTTTTTGTAGCTGCTGACAATTTTTACACAGGAGACTGGAGCTCCTCTTTCAACTAAATCTCTCTAAATCGGACCTGATAACTTTCACCCACGCCCATGCCCCCCTCCATGACTTTTCCATCAAGATCAATAATATAACGATCAGTCCCTCCCCTCACACCCGAGTACTAGGTGTAATCCTAGACTCTGACCTGCCCTTTTGGCCCCAAATCCAGAAGGGGGGGGGGGGGGTATAGCAGTTATACCTGAAAAATTAAAGTGACACTAAACAGTCATCCATGCTACATTTGTGGTGCAATTTTTCAAAAGCTCACAAAAAAGGCACCTTCTATTGTAAGTCAATGAGAACACATCAAAAGTGCATTCAGTGTAAAAAAAACTCTAAGGTGCGCAAAAGTGCATCAGTGTGAAAGGGCCCTTAGTGTCACAAATAGTACTTAGCTGTGCTGTAACAAGTGTACTAATACAGCTGAAATCACTTAAAACCTAAGTGCTGGAAAAAAAAAAAAAAAAATCAAACACAATCTTCAGCACAAGGAACAGTACTTGCTATCAATGCAATCTGGTTCTTGTTCAGTTAGTTCATGCGTTGAAATCTTCCTCCTCCAATCAATGCCCCCTTACTCCCACAGAAGTCAATTCAGCTAAGGGACCCATTATATGCACTCTCCAAGACTGCCAACTATGCTCACCCCCTCCTTCATTCATAAAAGCTGCACTATAGCATTGATGATTAAAAACAATGAATAAAGGAGGCTGATCTTTTCATCCACCAGTCCTACATTTATATAGTTCATTCACAAAAGCTAAAGTACAGTATCTATGACTGGGAAAGGGGCAGAAAAGGCGGACACAGTCAGCACTCTTGATGAGTGCATGCGACAAGTCCAAACGAAAGATATTAACTAAAGCAGGAGCCAGCAGGACATTGGTAGTTTTGTCTCATTTGGATTTTTTTATTTATTTATTTTTATTTAAACTTAGACTTTAAGCACTTGCCTCTAATGTTCTTCCAAAGCAAGGCAACGAATATTCAAACTTTAAATGCCAGCTAACTAGATTTTATTGTCAAGTATATAATTTGACGGTATGAAATTCCATACATCCCTGGTGCATGGAACAGATTCCAAAATGAATTCCAAAGTGTGCCATAAAAATATATCATCTACGTACTTTCTCAGAGTATTGTTGTTCTGCACCCTTTTGACCTCATCCTCCAGCTGCTGAATTCGTCGAAGAACATACATGTGTTGTTGTAACAAAACACCGAGCCAGAGCTCATCCCAAAGCACAGTAACTCTTCTTAGTTCAGCTACCAACATTTGAACCTGTGGAAGCGCAGAAAATTACCAGGGAAAGCCAAGCAAATATAGTGCCTTTGTAAACATAAATAATGAGCTAAGAAATAGTGTTTAAACAAACCTGCAGAACCATGGTAGGGTTAGCACAAGACAGCTTGTCAACAATTTTACTGTAACAATCTTGCATCATGGCTTGGTCTTCATTCAGAATATTTTTCAATTCCTCTCTATTGCTTTCTTGTGAAGCTGGTTGACTTCCATCATCACATTCCCCACCCATAAGTTCATCATCCTGGATGTTGCCCAGTAAAGTGGGAATGGCTGACGACAACTTGGTTCCTGTGATAATAGACAAAAGTGAGGGTGGGCGTAGAAAAATAAAGCATGTAGGTAATGTCCCACCATTGTGGTATGATGTTTCTATTGGAATTACATAAGGGTACTACTCTATAGCTGGCTCAAACAAGTACATTAAATAAAAGAAACTAATTCAGCCACTGAGTTATGAAAGGAAGAAAAAAATAGGAAAGACAAAAAATGACAAAGAGGTTCATGCAGAACAAGCTTCTCCGACTTAGGGAAAATCAAAGGCCAGTCTAAAATTTTTTTTTTGAATATTTAAATTTATAGGCAACCATCATTTTTTTATCTTCTACATGTTCTGTGTACCAGAAGATCCAGTGTAAAATTTAATAGATCATCTTCATTGTTCAATTATTTAAAACAATTGCAGTGAATATGCCAAAAGCAAAAACACAGCTTTGTGGGACGCCATCATTTACGGACTTTCAGACTGTATTCTACTTCACAGGTGGTGCCGCCCTCACTTGCTCAGAATCTGAATGGGTTTAACATTACCATCCTGTACCTGGTATAAGACCTGTGAAATTCAGGGAATAATAATGTGTAATCATTGTTGCCCTCATTTTCTGTAACCTCATATGGATATTTGAAAGTCATAGGCTGCAAAGGTCTTTTTTTTTTGGGGGGGGGGGGGGGTGAGATATGTTGAAGTGTGGGTTACCAAAAAAAAACATACTGCGGCTAATGGTGCAGCTGTCCCCTGCTGGCTCTAAAGAAGCAAAACTGAACGATCACATGACCACTGATCGCTCTTGATCACATAACTGGGGGCAGCAGCGGAGCGCTGAGAGGCTGACCCAGCTGCCAGAAATGCATCTGGGTGGATACAGACATTGTTGGGATCCCTGCGGAGCCTGAACCAGCTTGGTGACGTCAGCCAACAGAAAAGATTTCTATGTATTTTGGAAGGGTGATTAAGATCACTATATCCATTAGAGTCACCAGAACAAAAACCAAGAACAGCTTCCTTTCAGCTTCTATTTCTTGGCAGCATGAAGTTTACTACTACAATAGAGATGAACTGCAAGGATACTGACCTGAAGACTGGGATTCATTACTCAGTGAGATACTTCCCACAATTGCTGGGTAGAGGATGAGGTGAGGAGAGTCATGTGCTACTCGACACAGCAGACTGCAAATACTTTGACGAACATATACCTCAGGATGGTTGAGACGTGAAAAAAGCTGAGGTATTATACCTGCAAAATCACAAATAAATTAACATTTGGAGACAGCCCCAACTCTGCAAACACTTTACATTATCTAAGAAAATAATGTACTACTGTAACAGTGGTACAAACACTATATTCTATCATATATATACAAACCAGAAACAGGACAGGCCATTTCAAAAACATTTACACATCCTATTAAAAGACAAGGACCACCTGAGCAAATGTTATAGTAGTTCTAAACATACAAGTTTTTTCCTGCATTAATTTGGTTGTAACCCTTACATATATAGCCAGTGAAGTGGGTGGCCTCAGGTGATGCACAGAGATTAAACAAAACCTACATAAGTTCTACCTGTTTATCTGAAGTTATCTCTTCTCTACAACCAAAGTACAGAATTTATAAAGCTTTTCTGAGAGTTCAGAAAAAAAAAAGGGGGTGGAGAGCTGAAATTACACACTCCCGAGCTCACTGAAGAGAACTCTGAGAGCTGATTGGAGGGAAGAGTCACATCCCACTATACACAGCTCACAGGAAAACAGCTGAGGATCTCAATCAGCTGGAGGTCCCTCTCCTGACCATTTTTCTCTTGGTGTCAGGAAAACATGTCAGAAGTTATTTAGGCTGAGAGGAACGAGGCAGCTTACAGAAATTACTCTTAGTACTCTGGAGGGATATGGGACACTATGGAGGGATATGCTTTGTTCATATTTCATGTCTGAGGTTTACAACAACTTTAAAGTGAAAAAACCTTCCACTAGCTACGTCCACAACATTTAACTGAGTCCTCTATCGATCCAATGCTGTGCTCAGCTGCAGCTCTTCTCCCTTCTCTTTCTGTTCTCACAGGAGTCTAAGAGTAGCACGAGCCATAGCCTCCCACTGCTGTAAGTCAAATACTGTGAGGGTGGAACAGGGAGTGAGGCCAAGACATGCTGTAGGTTTCTACGGACCCACACCACCCGGCTTGGAAGTGTGCCCACACGAGTGCTCCCACAGCACAGGGCTTGTTATGGGGGCTCTCGGAGAAGGAGGAGGGGGGGAAAGCGCCGACGGGGGACCGACAAAAAAAAAAGGTACATGACTGTTCTGTACAATATCTTTGCATGTTTAATATTTTTTAACAAAATGATGGCCTTCTGCACACAGACACCAGCTCCTTGTTATATAAATGTGAATGAAAGTAATTCTCTAGGTCTTCTAGCCAGGGCGAATGTAGTTACCATCTCCTGAGAAAAAAAAAAAAACTTAATTCTATTGACTTTAGCAGAAAGACTTGACAGTTGAAAAAGTAAAAGGTTAAAAACATCCACATATTTAGAGAGAGCATTTCTACAGTAGCTTTCTTCAAAACTCTTGGAAGAAAATATGAAGTATGCCTCAATGAGAGATTCTGCAAAAGTGATGAAAATAACACTGTAAACTGCTGACCACAGCAATCAATTTCCAGGTTTCATTTTTACCTACTGTAAAAAGATTATATTGCTTAAAACTACAATAAGGGATCTCTTTTACAAAAATTCAAGTATGTTGAGTTTCAACCAACAGTGTATAACTATGTATAATTTACTAGACAAAGTATCTTTTAAAAGGTACCTCTCCAGGGAGCAGTGGGTGTGGTCTCCAGCCCCTGTTCTAAGTACTGTCTAAGCTCTCCAGCATGTTTAACTAGCAGTCTGAGAAGTCGCAGTGTTGCCATGACTATAGCATCATCTGTGCTTTGCTTAGAAGGAACATTTAACTGCAGACGAGGGTCATCTTCATCCAATGAAACCTAGGGGGTAAGAAAAAAAAAAAAAAGATATGAATTTTTTTCAAAGCCCAAATAAAGGCACTACAACTTGAAAAACAAGCAACTCCAAGACCAGTCACATACCCTTCCAGCATTCAACTTCAAGAATGTGAAATATGCACTGCAGGATAATTTATATAGGCTGAAAATCCGATCCACAACTTTCCTCCATAGTTTGATGAGACCCTCTGAAGCCGCTTCATCAAGTTCTGCTAACCATGGGCAACTGGTCAATAGCTGCCTCCAAATCACATCTACGGTGTCATTTTCATTGTTGCCCTCATTCTCTGTAATCTGAAGTGACATATCCTCATCCTAAAAGGTACAAAGATAAACACATAAGGGGGTAATAAAGAGTGGTCATTTAAGCACCATTTAAATAATTGTTTCCATAAAGACTTTTATTGAAAAGTAACAGTACAAAGGAAAATTACAGTCAGGTCCATAAATATTGGGACATCAACACAATTCTAACATTTTTGGCTCTATACGCCACCACAATGGATTTGAAATGAAAGGAACAAGGTGTGTTTTAACTGCAGACTGTCAGCTTTAATTGGAGGGTATTTACATCCAAATCAGGTGAACTGTGTAGGAATTACAACAGTTTGCATATGTGCCTCCCACTTGTTAAGGGACCAAAAGTAATGGGACAGAATAATCATAAATCAAACTTTCACTTTTTAATACTTGGATGCAAATCCTTTGCAGTCAATTACAGCCTGAAGTCTGGAACGCATATACATCACCAGACGCTGGGTTTTATCCCTTGTGATGCTCTGCCAGGCCTCTACTGCAACTCTCTTCAGTTCCTGCTTGTTCTTGGGGCCATTTCCCTTCAGTTTTGTCTTCAGCAAGTGAAATGCATGCTCAGTCGGATTCAGGTCAGGTGATTGACTTGGCCATTGCATAACATTCCACTTCTTTCCCTTAAAAAACTCTTTGGTTGCTTTTGCAGTATGCTTTGGGTCATTGTCCATCTGCACTGTGAAGCGGCGTCCAATGAGTTCTGAAGCATTTGGCTGAATATGAGCAGATAATATTGCCCGAAACACTTCACAATTCACCCTGCTGCTTTTGTCAGCAGTCACATCAATAAATACATGAGAACCAGTTCCATTGGCAGCCATACATGCCCACGCCATGACACTACTACCACCATGCTTTACTGATGAGGTGGTATGCTTAGGATCATGAGCAGTTCCTTTCCTTTCCCATACTCTTCTCTTCCCATCACTCTGGTACAAGTTGATCTTGGTCTCATCTGTCCATAGAATGTTGTTCCAGAACTGTGGAGACTTTTTTAGATGTCATTTGGCAAACTGTAATCTGGCCTTCCTGTTTTTGAGGCTCACCAATGGTTTACATCTTGTGGTGAACCCTCTATATTCACTCTGGTGAAGTCCTCTCTTGATTGTTGACTTTGACACACATACACCTACCTCCTGGAGAGTGTTCTTGATCTGGCCAACTGTTGTGAAGGGTGTTTTCTTCACCAGGGAAAGAATTCTTCGGTCATCCACCACAGTTTTCCATGGTCTTTCGAGTCTTTTGGTGTTGCTGAGCTCATCGGTGCGTTCCTTCTTTTTAAGAATGTTCCAAACAGTTGTTTTGGCCACGCCTAATGTTTTTGCTATCTCTCTGATGGGTTTGTTTGGTTTTTTCAGCCTAATGATGGCTTGCTTCACTGACAGTGACAGCTCTTTGGATCTCATCTTGAGAGTTGACAGTAACAGATTGCAAATGCAAATAGCACACTTGAAATGAACTCTGAACCTTTTATCTGCTCATTGTAATTGGGATAATGAGGGAATAACACACACCTGGCCATGGAACAGCTGAGAAGCCAAATGTCCCATTACTTTTGGTCCCTTAACAAGTGGGAGGCACATAAGCAAACTGTTGTAATTCCTACACCGTTCACCTGATTTGGATGCAAATACCCTCAAATTAAAGCTGACAGTCTGCAGTTAAAGCACATCTTGTTCATTTCAAATCCATTGTGGTGGTGTATAGAAACAAAAATGTTAGAATTGTGTCGATGTTCCAATATTTATGGACCTGACGGTATGGCAAGCAAACCAAGGCAGGTACAAGTGCAATATATCCAAAAAATATCTGAAGCGTTTATACAACAGTATATACAGGTTTGACTCAAGCTCAGGGCACTCATTTTGAGGCATTAAACATTCTTGTAATTTAGAAAAAATATTAAATATTTTTAATTTAATAGCCAGAGTGTAACACAGGAATGGAAAATAGGATTTCTGCACTCAATGTAAAATAGTGTTCTTGGAGTTCTCAGAGACACACAAGTCTTTACAGAAGGAAATTTTTCACCTTCAGGGTACACTGATGCCTACAGCAATAATGAATGCTGGCAAACACACAAAAACTAGGCCAGCTCAGGATAACCACTCCTACCAACTGCATGTCTCAGTTTTATATAAACCAATTGATGCCAAATCACACACATGTACGCGATTGGTTTCAAGTGATTATACCGAGGTCACGGCTACAGCTGTATGCCATAACACCAGTATTTTTTTTTTCCCAGCCTGCAATACTTTTTCATCTAAAAGCAATCCTAGCGGCTGATTAGCTGTGGATTGCTTTTACAGGTAGCAAGAGGGGATGACCCTGCCCCCCCTCCTGCTGCCCACCAGCACTTCTCTGAGCTCTCCCATGTGACCAGGAAGCCCTGTATCTGATCTGGAGGTGCCACCGGATTATCAGAGATCATCGGGGACTGGAAGGTCAACCGGTCGTCTCTATATTCTTGGAGACTAGAAGCAATGTCATTATGTCACTTCCGGTTTGGACAAATGTAAAAATGCCTTTTTTTTTTTTTTTTTTTTTGGGTAAAGCATGAGATCAGTTTTTTTTTTTTTTTTTTTTTTCCAATCCTATGTTTTCCAGAGTAGAGGAGGGAGCTTATCTTATAGACCCCGTATGTCTCCATAAAGAGGACCTGTTGTCCTTTTTTTCCTATAACAAGGGCCGTTTACAATTCTTGTGATAGGAATAAAAGTGAAGGGAAAAAAAAAAAAAAAGTAACTTTTTTTTTTTAAAGTGCTCCTGCGCGCAGAAGCGAACACATACATAGCTCATGTAAACTGTATTCGCACCACACATGCAAAGTATCACCACAAATGTTATAGCATGAGCAATGATTCTAGCACAAGACCTCCTCTGTAACACTAAACTGGTAACTTGTAAAAATTTGCAATGTTTTACTTATGGAGATTTTTTAAGTACCGTATTCTGTCACCATTCCATGAGCGTGAACGGTATTAAAGAATGACGTGCTAAGTATCTATTTACTCGGCATAACATCATATTTTATGTGTTTCCAAAAATAGGTTATATATTGTGTTTTCTTTGCATTAAAATTAAAGTGTATTTTTTCCCCAAAAAAACTGCATTTGAAAAACTGATGTGCAAATACCATGCAACATAAAAGAAATAAAATTGCAGCAGCCATTTTATTCTCTAGGGCCTCTTTTAATTAATATATGTTTGGGGGTTTTAAGTAATTTTCCAGCAAAAAATGCTGAATTTTAATTGTAAACACAAAGTGTCAGAATAGGCCTGGTCTTCAAGTGGTTATGTAGTACTAACAGCACTGTCAAAAACAGAGGGGTGGGACCCATATCCCTTAATAGACCCAAAATAAAGCACAGTCCAAACCCGCTATAGCTATGTAAAAATGCTAGCCTTCCACAGACAGAACTACTGTGTTTGATTGTTTTTTTTACCACGATTTCCAAAGTAACAGATGAGGGTTGGATGGCTAGAGACGATTAACACCACTGTAGACAGGCAGCAGGAATGGACTGAAGATCAGAAGTAAATGTGGCTCTTTCCAGAGCAAAAGCATCAATGGGGAGATGCTTCGACGATGTATGGGAAGAAAGAATGTGGCTTGCAACACTCAATCTAGTGGATTACATCATTGTTCAGCACCACAGAAGTAACCACTTCTTGAAAACCAGTGCAAAGGGAAAATTTTAAAAAGGCACCTAGCAACTTAAGTAAATTGGGTAGCTCCGGGTGCTCAGCCATATCAACCTACTCACGGAGTGGGCCTTTAAAGACAGGGAAAGCACTGATGCAATGCCAACGCCTCTGGACCTAGAAGGTGCTGCTTCTGATCAGCCACAGAAAGAAATTCTATTCCCAGGTCAGCAGGTCCCAAAAATGTGTATGATTTCCTCAACACCCCACAGGCCCAAAGGAGAAGGGGGATGGTGTCTGCAAGCTAGGGAAGGGTCCTTAAGAGTGGGCAATCCTTTAGTATTTTAAGTTGGACAGCCTCACCTGTTGGTGACTGAACTGAGCGCCTGAAAATCACTCCCATGCTATCCCCACAATATCTAGTTCAATTAAAAAAAAAAAAAAAAAAAAGTGCCTGCAAAAATATGTATTTAACAGATAAAGAAATTACATCTATCCTCCTAGTACAATAGCAAAAAATGAGGTATTTTGGTGGTAGAAGGGGTAATCCTGGTCTGGCCCCCCAGTTTTTTGTTTCCCAGTGTTTAATGCGGTTGGTGAAAGTATAACCCAAAAGGTTAAGACTTTCTGGGTCTTGGGAAATAAACCAGGTTTACTGTATTTAGGGATTTCCAAAAAGGTTTAACCACAAGTTAACCCTTACACAGTCACAGCAAACTTTTTTTGAGGACATACCTGACTGCCTGCATAATTTTCCATGTGTTGTATATATAGAAGTCATTTAGGACCTGCATACATATCTCCACTTAGCAGGTCAGCAATTAAAAAGGGCAGGGATGCATGATGGCAGAAATAGGATCTCTCTCTCGCTCTATATACACACACACTATATTGCCAAATGTACTGGGACGCCTGCCTTTACACGCACATGAATGGCATCCCAGTCTTAGTCCGTAGGGTTCAATATTGAGTTGTCGGATGAGAAGGCCTGGCTCGCAGTCTCCACTCTAATTTATTCAAAAGGTGTTCTAATCGGGTTAGGGTTGCGGTCAGGACGCTGTGCAGGCCAGTCAAGTTCCTCCACCCGAAACTTGCTCATCCATGTCTTTATGGACCTTGCTTTGTGCACTGGTGCGCAGTCCTGTTGGAACAGGAAGGGGCCATCCCCAAAGGTGGGAGCATGAAAATTGTCCAAAATGTCTTGGTATGCGGACGCTGAGAGTTCCCTTCATTGGAACTAAGGGGCCAAGCCCAACCCCTGAAAAATAACCCCACATCATAATCCCCCCCCCCCTCCACCAAACTTTACACTTGGCACAATGCAGTCAGACGAGTACCATTCTCCTGGCAACCGCCAAACCCAGACACGCCCATCGGATTGCCAGACCGAGAAGTATGATTCGTCAACTCCTGAGAACATGTCTCCACTGCTCTAAAGTCCAGTGAAGGCGTGCTTTACACCACTGCATCCAACGCTTTACAATGCACTTGGGGATGTAAGGCTTGCATGAAGCTGCTCGGCCACAGAAACCCATTCCATAAAGCTCTCTATGCACTGTTGTGCTAATTTGAAGGCCACATGAGGTTTGGAGGTCTTTAGCTATTGACTCTGCACACAGTTGGTGAATGCGCGGACCCCAATATGTCATTTTACGTGGCCTATCACTTTGTGGCTGTTCCCAGGTGCTTTCACTTTGTTATAATAGTTGGCAGTGGAATATTTAGTAGCAAGGAAATTTCACGGATGGACTTATTGCACAGGTGACAACCTATCACGGTACCACGCTTTAATCCACTGAGCTCCTGAGAGCAACCCATTCTTTCACAAATGTTTGTAGAAGCAGTCTGCAAACCTAGGTCTTGATTTTATACACCTGTGGCCATAGCGGTGGTTTGAACACCTGAATCCAATGATTTGGAGGGGTGTCCTAATACTTTTGATAATATAGTGTAAATAGATAGACAGAATAGATAGAAAGAAAATGGTGATTAGCTACACCTGATTGAGTTCACAAGTCATTTTTAAGATGGGGGTAATTCTTTTTCCAACTCTGTGTTTCTGTTTTTTGAATTTTTTAAATAAATTTTCTGACATGTTGGTGTTATATCTTTCACTTGGATGTTATATGTTGCAGTAAATACAGCTGGATAAAACAAAGACTGTGTGTCTTCATTTTACACTGCAATGCAGCAAAATGTGATTTTAAAGGAGGCGATCCTTTTCTATACCCACTGTAAATACATATGCGAATATATGGAGAGTAATAAGCCACAGTCTGGTCAAGGAGGGGTATATTATAAAAGGGCAGGTACTTTCCCCACAGCCCTGCATATTCACCAGGTGAAGAGTGGGGAGTTGTTAGTGTCTGGAAAGAGACAACCCGTGTGCATGCTGAACCTTCTTGCAAGACTCGCTGGTCTGTGATTTTCCTGCTGGATGAGGCTACTGTTATATTTTTCCTGATTATCCTGCAACATATTTGAACCTCTGCTGAAGTAAGCAACTTCTGCTGCAGTTTAGAGTGTTTGGTGCTGTCAAAGAGTATGTGTTTGTAAAGACAAAGCTTGTAATTTTGCATTTTGCTGACAGTAAAGGGGACTTTTACTTTTTAAGCATTTGCATTGGATAATGGTTTACCTTTTAATTACACACTTATTTTAGTCTGTACTTAACACTTTCATCCACCTTCACATCTACATCTATTTTATATAACCCTATTTAAATATACATGTGGCATTTGCAGCCTTTTTCAATATGTATTCGTTCTTTTAATTTGGGAGAAAGATGCAACACTTTTAGAAATTGGCACACTTGTCAAGTTATTTCACTTGGAGCAGGAGACACGCCAATTCTCATAGGTTTATTGGTATATTTACATTTGGTGCACACAACCTCATCCTCGTTTCTGCACATAAATTCTGATTCATATACAAATGTTAATTCTCGGCTCTATATTTATTTATTCTGAAGTAAGAGTGTTCAACCTATTTTCCTGTGTATTTTATAAAATGATAAAAGAATCTGAAAGAAATAGGCTAAACCACGATTTAATATAAAATATGATTAGCAACTGACGTATCTTATAGCTCTGCTTGTCAGAGTAGTAGTCCACATACTGCACCATAAGTAACATTTCCCTCCACATAGTTATGAAATACTCTTTAACAAACCTGTATTCCAGCTGGCCGACACATTGCCTGGCCCAAGATACCATATATCTTCTCTTTGTCCTCATCAGACACATTATCTGGCAGTAGGCTTTGCATTTCTAATTTCTCACGCTGTAATAATTTCACACCTTCCCCTTGACTGCAGGAAGAAAACAAAAAAGTCTGGCATGTACTTTGTTACATAAACCAAGGTAAGCAAATTCACCAACAGATTGCTTATATCTGAACTTAAGTGCATGCGTTTCAAAGTAAACCATGCCCATAGTTCCAATTCTATTTTACATCAGATTTTTGATAATTAGTGCCAAACATGATTCAACATTTTAACTATATGTCAACTTCCAATAAGTTTGTAAACCAACAAAATATGCTAAAAATCACTCTTTGTTGCTCTTTCATTATTTAGAACCTTTGCAAGCCAACGTTTAAAGCGATACTCCCCCACCCCATGTTTATCCCCCCACCATAGGGCTTTTCAAAGCTTTTCACCCACATAGCAAACTGAACACTCTCCTGCTGTAATGTGTTGATCGGGTGCAACACAGTAAGTCCAGTGCCATCATCTTGGTTCTCTTCAGCTTGCTGCCTCTTCCAGGTGCAGGCAGCTAACTCCGATGACGTACTGGATTCACCCCCCAGTGTGTTGATCCTGCAGTCTCCTGCGAGATGTGATTTAAGTATCCCAAGAGGTTGCAGGACCAGATACACAACATTCTGGTCTAGGCCAGAATGGCAGAGGCGGCAGGGCTAAAAATGAAAAACTTACAAAAAAAAGAAAATGGCAAAAAAATCCTGCCATTCTGCTTGGGGAGGTATGTTAAAAGCAGAACTCCCTTTTGGGAGTAAGCTCTGCTTTAACTTGCTCTCCATGTGGAGACTAGGCTAAAATGTGCCCATGAGATGCTCTCACAAAATTTCCCCATGTTTTATTACCTTAAACATTGCTGCACGTACAGAAAAAAAACAGGATACAAATTGAAATGCCATAAATAGTGTGCTTGTACACTTCTCTGACATAAAAGAGTGTATTTTCAACTCTGAATTTATACACACATTAGACATGTTCCAACCATTCCTACTTCATTTCTAATAAAAATGAACACAGACCCACTTCCAATCCCTCTCCACGTCATCTCGATAATCCCCCTTTGTATACTAGCAGAGATCACAAGAAGTTGCAGGGCTAGCAAAATTTCTGGCAAAAATCAACAGGTATTTTTTGCCCTTATTGAATATATACAACACTTTCAATGGTATATTAAGCAGTCCAAAAGAGAGCAAAAACAATGTTAATTTTTTTATATACAGTTTATAGTAGGACTATTGGGAAGGAAGGGGAGTGACTTACAATAATGTGCAAGTATAAACAGAGTACTTGCACATTACCTCTGGGTTTGTGGTTTTCCCCCAGACGTAGTTCCGTACTCTTTCCATTCCACAAATGTAATTTTCTTGGAAACTTCTCCCATGCAATACATCTTTCACTTAATTGATAGACTGGCCAGTCAAACATTCATAGGACCTATTCAATGGATTTGTACAGTATGTAGAAGAGAATATGACATTTATCAACAATAAAATGAAGTAAATATTAAAACACTGGTGATAAAAACCAGCATCACTTACCTAGCGTTATCTACCACCTTTCTTCCCCATCTATAAGCCCAGCTAGCCAGTGCAGCCCAAGACTTGGCCACTTCAGGTGCTTGCACAGAAGACAAGTGGTACAGCTGGCCCAGAATGAAGTCAGGCTCACCTACTCCAATGTTCACTAATGTAAAGAAAACCGTAAACAATTATATGTACACTCAATTAAGTGAAATAACTGGATAAAAAAAGTAAATTCTAAAAATCTGTATAACAAAACAGCACACACAGTGATTTTACAGCTGTTACCTGTAGATTCGCTTTCAATACGTAGATACTCTTCATCCATCACATTTACAGGAGGCAGATCAATTAAGGTGTGCACATTTTTTCCCAGTGTAGAAAGGCTGGAGGTGTTAGATTGCTGACGCACCCTGTATACTTGTTTCATTTGGCCGGATATTTCCTTCCAGTCTGCTTGGATCCATTTTGCCAGTGTGAGGATAGATTTGGCCACAGAATACTCTGCTTTTGCAGACTTGCAAAAGGTGATAGCACAAGAACTTAGCATTTCCATGGCATGAGCAGACTGACCTGTATAGGGAAACAAATGATTCCTGTCATGTACTCTACAGTCCAGAAAACCTCAGGACCAAGTCCAAACAAAAGCAAGAAGTTAGAGCTTTTGATATGTTCTATTGATCTCTGTGCACTTATTGAGGATGTTTGCCTCACTTCTTCCAAAGACAGGAATGAATGTGAGCTTTCCAGCAGGGACACCAAATACATTTTTAAAAATGTGATTTTTGTGCACAATCGCAAAACCCCTTTCTTACAGTCAATTGGTTAACACTGAGAAGTTGCAACCTTCAGATTACACTGCTGCACACTGGACACAAACTGTTGGCCAGCCCAGCAAAACCCAACCCACTACCAGCATGCCTTAATTTTATAGCAATAGATCATAAACCCATAAAGATGGGACCCTTCAATGTATTCAACTAAAATTAATCTATAGTGAGGGGACACAGGAAGTCTTTACCTTTGAGAAATCTAAAAGCAGTCCAACTGAGGCGTGGGAAACACAGAAAACACCAACTGGCTCAAGAAAACCAAGGACCTCCTGCAGTTTAAAGGTTTGCCCAAAGGACCTTCCGCCCAAAGCGGACAACAGATGAGTCCACAAAGTAAAACCTGTTAGAGTATGTGCTAACAGAAGACAAGGGAGGATCAAACACTTCGAGTACCATCTTGCAAAATTTGAACCAATGTATTTTATGTATGTGTACAGGTATGAGACCCATGTGTGAGAACGGCCTGAAAGCCTCCAGACCATCACAACTGAAATTTAAAGCTGGAGCCATTTGCTGAATGTGTTCTATAATCAAAGGATCAACTGCAGCAGTGGTTAGATCTAAGGAATTTTGACCAGCCAGCCATGGTTTGGTAAAGAAAAGAGCAGGGTCCATCAGTGAGAACAGGGTAGAGAGAGGGCTTTTAAACACTTCTCAGACAAGCCCTTAAAGAGAGGTGCATTTGCCATTGCAATTGCAGACACTTTGTTGTGGTGGGACACTGCCAGATTTACAGTGCGAATTGACCATAATTTGTTAATCTTCAACCAAATGGGAAAATTCACAAACTAGAATAATAACAGTAATCTATCCTATAGATCTGTGGAGCAGGTCCTGGTCTAAGACCTTCTCAGCACGCCATTGGCTAAAGCGTGTGAGCTGCTACTGCTAACTGTTCCCCTTCAGTCCTGCTATGCAACTTCACAATTGGGAAATGTGTGAGTTGGCACTCTGTTCACATTTAACGATCCCCCAATTTTACTGAAGGAGATCTGAGAGCTTGCTTTTTCTGAACAAGGCCAACTCTTACCCTTATTGTACCTTTTACCTTTATTGTATAGTTCAGGACACAGGAATCTACTTAAACACCATGGGACCAAGCAGTTATCAAGTTGTGACAGCAATACAACTAAACAGCAACATGCCCACAGAAAAATGCCCAAGAGAAAAGGAGGGTAAATGACCACCCAGGTAGATGGGAGCTGATGGAGGAACCTCAAAAGGTGGGACCTTTCAGTAAGGAATGAAGAGAGAAAAAAAGGGGGCAGGTTCCAAGAGAGACATGGCACGTAACCATGTGTCATGCTTGACCCCTTAAGAGATCAAAGTGTGAAATGTGGCACAAGCTGGAAGGACATGGTAGGAAAAATTAAAGGAGTTTTCAGAAAAAAACAAGAAATATCATGGCAGTAAGAAGGAAGGTTACCGCTCCTGATGGAAATGGAGAATTGGATTGTATGAGGATCCCCCAGAATGGAATCTATTTAAAAGGATACATTTTGGGATGACCATGAGGGTTCTACATGAGTCCCAGCGGGTGAAAAGGACGAACCCTTTGTAGTACAAGTTTCCACAAGTAGTGCAGAGAGATAGGAAGAGGGTATATAGAGGTTGACTAGGACCTACACGGTTTCAACTAAAATGATATAAGTATGGCCAGGTAAAGCTATATTCAGAAAAAAAAATAACAGTGGTACAGTGGATATAAAAAATGTACACACCCGTTAAAATGTCAGGTTTCTGTGATGTAAGAAAAAAAATGCGACAAAGATAAATAATTCTGAACTTTTTCCACCTTTAATGTGACCTATAAACTGTACAACTCAATTGAAAAACAAACTGAAATCTTTGTGGGGGGGAGTAAATATACTAAAAAATAATGTGGCTGCATAAGTGTGCACACCCTCTTATAAATGGGGATGTAGCTGTGTTCAGAGTTAAGCAATCACATTCAAAATCATGTTAAATAGGAGTCAATACACACCTGTTATCATTTAAAGTGATTCTGATTAACGTCAAATAAAGTTCAGCTGTTCTAGTAGGTCTTTGACAGTTTCTTAGTCACATCCTACAGCAAAAGCCATGGTCCGCAGAGAGCTTCCAAAGCATTAGAGGGATCTCATTGTTAAAAGATATCCATCCGTCAGAACGGTACAAAAGAATTTCCAAGGCATTAGATATACCATGGAACACAGTCATCATCAAGTGGAGAAAATATGGTGCAACAGTGACATTACCAAGAACTGAATGGCCCTCAAAAATTGTTGAAAAGATGAGAAGAAAACTGGTCTGGGAAGCTGCCAAGAGGCCTACAGCAACATTAAAGGAGCTGCAGGAATATCTGGCAAGTACTGGCTATGTGGTATATGTGACAACAATCTCCCGTATTCTACATATGTCTGGGCTATGGGGTAGAGTGGCAAGATGGAAGCATTTTCTTAATAAAAACATCTAAGCTTGGCTACATTTTGCAAAATCACATCTGAAGTCTCCCAAAAGCATGTGGGAAAATGTGTTCTGGTCTAAGAAATGCTTGGCACAAAAACAACACTGCATATCACCAGAACACCACCATACCCACAGTGAAGCATGGTGGTGGCAGCATCATGCTTTAGGGTTGTTTTTCTTTAGCTGGAACTGGGGCCTAGTCCAGTTAAGAGGGAATTATGAACAGTTCCAAATACCAGTCAATATTGGCATTAAACGTTCAGGCTTCTGCTAGAAAGCTGAACATGAAGAGCAACTTCATTTTTCAGCATTACAAAGACCCAAAGCACACATCCAAATCAACAAAGGAATGGCTTCACCAAAAGATTAAAGTTTTGGAATGGCCCAGCCAGAGCCCAGACCTGAATCCGATCAAAAATCTGTGGGGTGATCTGAAGAGGGCTGTGCACAGGACAGGGCTTGAAATTTCCACTCGCCAATGGCGAGTGGAAATTATGGTGGGGGCGAGTGTGTCCCCCAGGGCCGTCTTACTGAGCAGGCTCGGAGATCAGGCTGGATCTGTCATTGGCACTGGGAGCCGTCAGACTGCTCAATAGCTGAGCACAGTAAAAGCAAAGGAAGGAGTGTGTGCTGTGCTCTCTGTCTCCCCTTAGAGTGCAGTACACGGCTCTGTGAGTGAACAACGAAGTACTGCAACTTTTATAGGGTGTGTGTGTGTACATGTGTGTCTGTGTATGAATGTACAGGTGTCTGTCTGTATGTGTCTGTGTGTGTACACATACATGTCTGTGTGTACACATACATGTCTGTGTGTACACATACATGTCTGTGTGCTTGTTGGTGGCAAGTAACTCTTAAGGCCTGGCTAGTAGCTCAGGACTTGAAATTTTAAGCCCTGGCACAAGAGATGCCCTTGCAATCTGACAGATTTGGAGTGTTTTTGCAAGGAAGAGTGGGCAAATACTGCCAAGTCAAGATGTGCCATGATGATAGACTCATACTCAAAAAGACAAAAGTGCTGGAATAAAATCAAAAGGTGCTTCAACAAAGTATTAGTTTAAGGGTGTGCACACTTATGCAACCATATTATTATAGGTTTTTTTTTTTTTTTTTTTTTTTTTTTTTACTTGCCTCCACCTAAAAGATTTCAATTTGTTGTTCAACTGAAATTCTGAAATTATTTATCTTTGTCTCTTTTTTTACATCACAGAAACATGACATTTTAACAGGGATATGTAGACTTATTTCCACTGTACATGAGATCTCGCCCAGAGGCGGTTTATAGACGCAATACATCCTTATTAAAAAGAGAGATTATTGAGAAGTCACTTTACTGAGGAAGTTGTGAGAGTGTGAGTTTAAAGGTACCTTTAGATGCAGAAGTTGCCTGTTTATTAAAGAGAACACGGTGTTTGCTCCCAAATTGGGAGTGTTTTGTTCCAAGACACCAGCAAATAGACTGCGCCACAAATTGGGGTAGTTGACCTCATAACATGTGACTGTGGCACATTAGATGTAAGGAAAACAAAAAGACCTTTTTAAAAGCTAATGCATGACCACGTATATTAAAATTGAAAATGGGAAGACTGTGCACCCAATTGGCTGATGTGTAGGTTTGGTTCATAATTTTGATCTGTCATGCACTTGATAAAGTGCATGAGGACCCTAGTGAGGGTGACTTTGATAGGAGAGTCCTGCAACGGGAAAAGCACTGGATACAACACCTTAGGGCCACTGTACCGCCATCGCTAAATTACATGAGTTTTAAATGCTTCTTGTAAATATGGATTTATATTGTACAGTTTAAAAAAAAAATTTAAATGAGTTGATGGAGGATTTTTCTTGGGAACCTCAAAGTTGAATTTGAATAAGAATTATTTATTTTCAATTCTAGTTGTTATATTAAAATTTAATCATGGAGTAGCCAAGAGGTAGTGAGGGTACTTTGGGCCAAATAACTATTTGTGACTGTTAATTATTGTTCATTCATTGGATGTAGTTTACCTTTTGCCCCCTAGTGGTCTTTTGTGGCTGTTGAATCTGTGTTAGGCACCAAGACCGAGACCATATCAGTTTGGATGGGGTAGTAGGGAGTCAACCCTTGCCTCAGGCATGTGCAAGCAGAAGTGAGGATCGCTCCACCTTCTGTGTGTGGATGACAAACATGGGTGGCTTTTGCGCATGCTTGGTCTCCTTAGGGGTTCCAAGCATATGCACCTCCTGCGCACAGAACGAGGGTGACGTCACAAAGATGACAACCTGAAGCCTAGAGAGCATGTGCCTGGGAAAACCGAGAACCACCATTTTAGTTTTTAGTCACCTGTGGTGCCATTTGGCATTGTGTTTGGTGAGAAAAGTGGCCTTTTTGGAGACTATATATAGAGCAATCTGTCCTTGGGTGATGGATATGCCTCATGGATGGTATCACGGACAAAACAAAATCACTAAGGGCTGCCTGTGATCCTTAGTGGCCAATTTAAACAGAGGTACTGTATATCAGCGGAACTTGTTTGTTTAGGTGTACAAGAAGGTAATAATAACACACAGTCAATGAGATGTATCCATCTTTTCACAGAAGGATAAATGCTGAAAGGGGACTGTAAAGAAAGGAGTTCTCTCCTGATTTAAGCTAGCAAGTTCTTTTTGGAAGGATTATAGTTCACTTCTCTTCAATGTTTGATCTAAGTAAAAGTGGAGGCCAATGGGTTTTGAGGGGGGAATTTATGCACTTACATTGTCAGGTAAGCCTGTGGATACCAGACTATTTAATTTCTCTGTTTCTTATAGAAACAATTGAGTACTGTCCGTGATACTTTTTTTATTTGCACTAACATACAATTTTGAGGACAAGCTTTCGGGGTATGTCCCCTTCTTCAAAGTCCAACAGTACTATTACAAATCACAAAGTTTAAGCAGAATGTTAGAAGGGATTGAGAAAAGAGAAAAAAAAAAGGCTACAGATAAGATACATCAAGAGCGAGGGGGGGAGGGGGGATACTACACTCACACAGAGGGGGTCAAGCTTCAGCCGATAGTCATAAAGCTGTCGGATAATGGTTGAGGAATCCCATGTTCAAGTTAAGGCTGTTTCTTATAGAATTGAGTAGATGTGGATCATAGAGAGGGCTGCTGTGACCCAACACTGTTGGAATGGGCTGTATAGTATATAGTTTGTACACACCTGAAACCTGATATTCATGTAGAAGGCAAATAAGATATGTTTAACTAGGAGATATTGTAATATTGCTTTCCTTATATTCCATGAAAAACTTGTAATGATAGCTTTATTTTTAATTAGCTAATATTAATAACGGAAGAGCTGCCAAAAATAAGTGCATTAGTACATGGTGGTGTTGGGGGGTAGTCCATGTCTAACAGGAGGGTTGGTACTTTTCCCTATGTTGTGGGGTGGATGGGCTTAAGATGCATATAGTCTATTCCTCAATAGGAACGATAGATTAAGTATTTAGTGAAAGAATGGCCAGGTACAAACAATTTTTTTTGTTTTTTTTCTTCATCTATAGTATAAAGGGCTTCAAAATTGCCAGAAGGGGACAATGACCTGTCCAATCCAGCATAGGATTAGGTTTTCTACAGATGGCTCTCTTCTTACAGCATTTCAATAAATGGAGACTGAAGCTCTAGGGTCTAGGTGTATCAATCCAAAGTCTAGTGTGCACTGCCTTAATCAATTAATCCACAGCAAACATATGAAATGGTGTCCATGAGTGTGCAGCTAAAAGTCTTATAAACTGGACTGGACTTTCAAATTGGGATGTGAAAAAAAAGGCCAAAATTTTAATAGGTAAACACAGTACAACAACATAACCTATTAGGCTGAACAGTGAGACAATACAGTTAAAGAAAAAACCACTAAGAGTGCAAGTCCCTGTACATCTATGCCTTTGAGCTGCTTGTGTGCATAACAATGCAGAACATCTCGTATGATGGGGATATAGTGTACAGTATCTACAGATCCATCAAGACATGTAAGCCAGAAGTGGTATGTAAAAGGGGTACAAAGAAACCCTGTTTTGCCTTGTTTAAGTCACTGGGCCTAAACCTGTATAACAACCTGCAACTAACTACACCTGCTGCACCACTTGCCAAGGGTGAATGCCGAACACAGGATCTAGTGCCCAAAGCAAACATTACCATGGGGTTTGGGTACGGTTCCCGAGTCACTGATCTAGGAAACGTCTAGTGAGCCATGAGGGCAGTAAGCAGGCAGATCTTGACAAAGTAACAGTCAAATGAAGTAACTAAGTCTGGTGAAAATATAATAGGAAATTTTTCTCAAAGAGAAGGGGTCCATCAACTAAGGAGAATAGAAAAAATAAAACGGAGCCTCCGTCATGGGCAAGAGGGCAGACCCAGTGAAGCTTTTTGCCAGAGTATGATCATCTGAATGTAGCGGCATATAGCCAATGACCTGTGAATCTATTCCTGTATAATAAAGATAATAGGTTGGTCTTCTACATCTGAAGAAAAGAGGTCCACCCTCATTGGACACTAGCAAAAAAGCAGGCATGTTGGTAGTAGAAGGGGTTATACTGTAGACAACCGTAAAACTTGAAGGTTAGAATTTCCTGTGCCATTTAATGGACAAGAAAAACTTTATTAGAGCGAGGAATGTAAGAACATTTGATGAACAATGTTTGGTCCAGGACTTCCTGAATTAGTAACATTTGTACACCCCAATTGCTTACAGTGTTCAGCAGCTTCATTAACGGAGAAGTACAGCCAAAGCTTTTTTGGCTGTACTTCTCCTGTGGATCCCAGGGGAGGTGGGGGTTGGGTGCAGAGCAGAGAGTGGTAACTGACAGTCACCGCTCTCTGCTTAGAGTGGCTGTGAGAATTAGCCAGCGGGGCACAGATGCAGCATAGGCCGGATGCTGCATCCACCTAGGTAAGCATAATCGGAGAAAAAAAAAAAAAAAGCCCTAGCTCTCTTTTAAAGCGGATCTGCAAGTTTAATTTAACATATATTTGTTTGGACCAAGCTACTATTTTCTTCACTAACAGTTCCAGCGCTGTGTGCATTGTATAAGCTGTATGTAGCCTTAGCTCCATACAGTATATATTGCTGTTTTCTGGCAGTAGAACTAGAAAGCCCGGTCCCACTCTCAGAACATTGAGTCAGGCTGAGCCTTTCACAGGCAGCTTTGTATCCTATGAATGAACACCCTTCAAAAAGGCTGACTGCCGGTTGGCCAGCTTGGTTCAAACTATTTATAAGTTAAATCAAACATGGCGATCAGCTTTAAAAAGGTGGGTGTGCCAACTGGTAATTTTCAGCAGCTGATCAGTAAGGGTGCTAAATGGTTTTACATCAAAAATAATTAAATACAAAATCACACTGACCTGCAGCATATAGTAGTTTGGATTTTTCAATATCAAGTTCCGGTCCCCACTTCTCATCCATCTGCCCATGGAGTGAAAGTTTCTTGAAATGAGACACTAAATCCTGAGCATTGCACACTTGGTCTAAATGGATTTCACTGCATTGGGCAAGCAATCGTGCAGCGAGAGTGACATTTCCATGTTTCCTGGCACATTTAGCAGCTGTTAATCCCAGTTCCATCAGATGACTTTTTATGGGCACCGTTGGTTCTGAAAATCAACATTATAAGATTACACTTAATACATTTATATACACGCCTATTCAGATCCCTATTTAATAGAAATAGGACAATATATTTTTGCAATTTTTGTCACACATGGCAATGATAGATAATGCATACTTGCTTAATGCTCTGCAACATGACACCGTAGCATTACTGTATTGAGTTCAACGTGGACCAGGAAGTCCACGGTGTCAGATTCCTGCACACCGATTTCCATTCAAAGCATAAAAGATTGATAGACTGCATGGAATCTGATAAAATTGTGAATGTATGGAAAAAGGATTGGGAAACTAAACTACAGTGCTTTGAAAAAGTATTCATACCACATGAAATTTTCCACATTTTGTCATGTTACAACAAAAACAATTTATTTTATTGGGATTTTATGTGATAGACCAACACAAAGTGGCACAAAATTGTGAAGTGGAAGGAAAATAATAAATGGTTTTCAAAATGGTTTACAAATAAATATCTGAAAAGTGTGGTTTGCATTTGTATTCAGCCCCCCGAGTCAATACTTTGTAGAACCAAACCAAGCAATTACAGCTGCAAATCTTTTGGGGTATGTCTCTATCAGCTTTGCACATCTACAGAGTGACATTTTTGCCCAATCTTTTTTACAAAATAGAGCAAGCTCTGTCAGATTGGATAGAGAGCGTCTGTGAACACCAATTTTCACGTCTTGCCACAGATTCTCAAAAGGATTTAGGTCTGGACTTTGACTTGCTATGCTTTAATCTAAACCATTCCATTGTAGCTCTGGCTGTATGTTCAGGGTGGTGGTCCTGCTGGAAGGTGAACCTCCGCCCAAATCTTAAGTGTTTTTCAAACTTGCCCTGTGTTTGGCTCCATTCATCTTTCCATCAACTCTGACCAACTTCCCTGTTGAAGAAAAGCATCCCCACAACATGATCCTGCCACCACCATGTTTCACGGTGGGGATGGTGTGTTCAGGGTGATGTGCAGTGTTAGTTTTCTGCCACACATAGCATTTTGCTTTTGGGCAAAAAAGTTCAATTTTGGTCTCATCTGACCAGAGCACCTTCTTCCACGTTTGCTGTGTCCCCCACATGGCTTCTCGAAACTGCAAACGGGACTTCTTATGGCTTTCTTTCAACAATGGCTTACTTTTTGCCACTTTTCCAAAAAGACAAGATTTGTGGAGTGCACGACCAATAGTTGTCGTGTGGACAGATTCTCCCAACTGAGCTGTGGATCTCTGCAGCTACTCCAGAGTTACTATAGGCCTCTTGGCAGCTTCTCTGATTAATGCTCTTCTTGCCCTGCCTGTCAGTTTAGGTGGACGCCCATGTCTTGGTAGGTTTGCAGTTGTGCCATACTCTTTCCATTTTCAGATGATGGATTGAAACAGTGCTATGTGAGATGTTCAAAGCTTGGGCTATTTTTATATAATCTAACCCTGCTTTAAACTTCTCAACTTTACCCCTGACCTGTGTGGTGTACGCCTTGGCTGTGGGAATACAGTAACTGTCAGAGATACAGGGTAATCATGTCTTACTGGTCCACGGCGCTGCACTCTGTTTAGGATCCAGGCTCCAACAAGGTGTGTATACCCACAATTGGGGCTTCAGGGTCAGGGTTTTAGAGGGATGAATGACAGCCCTGGACCTGTATAGCACCCTGCAGCTAATTACACGCAGTGCATCAAGTGTTGAGGTGGCTCCCATCCAGGATCCAGTGGCCAAATCAATTTTACAGGCCATCCCAATGATGTGGAGCCCAGATGTGGCTCGCAAAGTTGTACCAAGGTTACATCAATCCAGAAGATTAACTGCTTTTATTGCTGTATTAGAAGACCGTTAAGAGTTGAATAAAGACTCTGGAGTTAAAATACTAAATCGGTTGAGAGATTTCTCCATAAGGGAAAACCAGTTCAGTCCCTTTAGGACACTAGCAAAAAATAGAATTAGGTGGAGTTACAAGGGGACAAGTGCTGCACTTAGTCCATCATATTTCTCTAGCTGGAAAATCAACCACACTTACAATCTTTTTTCACACTATTATCCTAAAAAAGGAAAAGTGAAAAGCATTGCTGTAATCAGGACAATAAAACTACCTACCTTTGAATTTTTCTGCAAGTTGGTTTTGGAAGGCTGTGTATCTTAAAGCATGTATCCATGGTCTGACATCATGCTGTTTACATGAGCGCAAAGCTTCACTGAACAGAGGGATCAGACAGTCCTGTGAACGCATAACAATCATGCTGATTGCAGACCAAGTTAAACATTGCACAAAAGAACAGAATCCTCACAATGATAAGTTCACTACAGTATTGTCTATTAGCAGAGAATTAACTAAAATAGGATTTTGTACTCACAGTTCAATCCTTTACATAAAGTCCATTGAAGGACACAAATTAAAATACTGTAGGGTTATACTGCCAATGGCAAATTCTAGTCCAGCCCCAAGATAACCTCTCCTCTACTCAGCATTTCTGTTTGTGGAAAGCAATGCCAGTGAATGAACAGAAACAGAGGAGTGGAACCTGTGTCCCTCAATAGGCCAAGAAAAAAATCTAACACAAAAAAAGTACAAAAAAAAAAAAAAAGGAAAAAAAAAGGTTTTGACTTAACATAAAAATCATTTTCTTGTAATACATTAAAGGGACACAGCATAAAGTACTAATATTCATTGGGTTATGCTGCTACCTACTCACAGCAAGCCTAAGCATCCTGACACTTTAAAAATTACTCAGTCATGCAGCACTCTATGCAAATTAATTTTATATATTTGTTGGAGAACTAGACCCTTTCGTTTGGTAGTATATAATCACCACTCTTTTATTTACTATAGAAAAGAAAGAAAGTGAAAATAAAAAATTGTTTCCCTTAGTGTTTCTACTATAAAAATTTAGCAAAAAATAAAATCTTTCATTTACAGGTATTTAGTCCAAAATGTGTTTTGCTACATATCTTCTTGGTTAAAAAAAACAAAAAACCACACAGTACAAATACCCCCAATGTCCAATTTTTGGAAAGTAGATAGGTATTTAGTAAGAATTTAGTTTTTTTTGAAGTTGTAACTTATTTGCCACAGTTTTTTTGGTGAATAAAATCTGATTACACAAAGTTACAATTTTGATTAGTTATTTCTCCCCCAGAGCTATTACCTTTTGTATCACCCAACCCTTCCTCCTAGATTGTATGCTCTAACGTGCAGGGTCCTCTGTTTCCTCTTGTACCAAATTGTATTGCAACTATTATGTCTACCTTCATTTTGTAAAGAGCTGCGCAAACTGTTGGTGATATATAAATCCAGTATAATAATAATTTCTCACTCACGGCATAGGTATACTTACAATTGCATCCCAAAATACATTCTTCTACTCCTCCTGAGTATGGTGATAACCACATGAGACCTTTTCACAGCCCTGCTCCTTAGAGAGGCCCAAAATCCAAAGAGCGCCTTAAGGTTTTCTAAGGGCATAAAATACACATCTAATTCCCAGACTACCTATCAAATTTTTGGAGGCCCTGAACTGCCAGGATAGTGGACACACACAAAATGACCATTGTGCAAATAAAATACTCCAAGGTATTTTCAAAGAGGCTTAAAGGAGTCTTTTGAAAATGTATTTGTTTGCCACAATTTTTTGGAAAGAAAATTAATTTTTTTTTTTTTTTTTTTAACAAAGTTGTCAATTAAAATAAGATATCTCTAACAGACAGCGAAGGCATACTTTGGATTTCACCTCAAAAATACACACTCTTCTACTCCTGAGTACTGAGTATAGGGATACTACACAGTGCCTTAAAAAAGTATTCCTACCACTTGAAATTTTCCACATTTTTTCCATGTTACAACCAAAAACATAATTGTATTTTATGCGATAGACCAACACAAAGTGGCAGGAAAACGATAAGTCCTCCCACTGGACGTTTTTACAGCTGCTGTTTTTGGCTTTTGACGTTTTTTTTCTACAGCCAGTAAACTCCCCAGCATGTTATCCTACGTGTACATGTACACACACTGTAATCAACTTTTTTTGGCAGAGGTGTGTTTTGGCTGGAAAAAAACCCCAGAACTAGTGGGTTTTTAGAGTTTTTTTTAGCTGTAAAAACACTCTAATGCTGAAAATTGTTTTACAGTTACTTTACACAACTAATGTTACCAGCGTTATTAAAACACAGAGGGTGCATGGAGCCTAAATGGATTTCAAAATGGTTTACAAATAAATATCTGAAAAGTGTGGCATGCATTTGTATTCAGCCCCCCTGAGTCAATACTTTGTAGAACCACCTTTAGCTGCAATTACAGCTGCAAGTCTTTTGGGGATGTCTGTACCAGCTTTGCACATCTAGAGAGTAAAATTTTTGCCCATTCTTCTTTGCAAAATAGCTCAAGCTCTGTCAGATTGGATGGAGAGCGTCTGTACAGCAATTTTCTACTCTTGCCACAGATTCTCAATTGGATTTAGGTCTGGGCTTTGATTGGGCCATACTAAAACATGAATATGCTTTGATCTAAATCATTCCATTGTAGCTCTGGCTGTATGTTTAGGGTTGTTGTCCTGCTGGAAGGTGAACCTCCGCCCCAGTCTCAAGCCTTTTACAGACTAACAGGTGAATGTCTTCTAAGATTGCCCTGTATTTGGCTCCATCCATCTTCCCATCAGCTCTGACCAGCTTCCTTGTGCCTGTTGAAGAAAAGCATCCCCACAACATCATGCTGCCACTACGTTTCATGGTGGGGATGGTGTGTTCAAGGTGATGTGCAGTTTATTTTTCCACCACACACACAACGTTTTGCTTATAGGCCAAAAAGTTCAATTTTGGTCTCATCTGACCAGACCACCTTCTCCCACGTTTGCTGAGCCCCCCACATGGCTTCTTGCAAAATGCAAATGGGACTTTTCGATAATGGCTGCCTTCTTGCCACTCTTCCATAAAAGCCAGAATTGTGAAGTGCAGGACTAATAGTTGTCCTGTGGACAGATTCTCCTACCTGAGCTGCGGATCTCTGCAGCTTCTCCAGAGTTACTATGGGCCTCTAGACTGCTTCGCTGATTAATGCTCTCCTTGCCCATCCTGTCAGCTTAGGTGGACAGCCACGTCTTCACAGTTGTGCCATTCTTTTTCCAGTTTTCAGATGATGGCTTGAACAGTGCTCCGTGAGATGTTCGAAGCTTGGGATATTTAACTTAACCCCGATTTTAACTTCTCCACAACTCTATCTCTAACCTGTCTGGTGTGTTCCTTGACTTTCATGATGCTGTTTGTTCACTAATTATTATTATACAGTATTTATATAGCGCCAAAGGGTTTGCTCAGCGCTGTACAATAGCAAGGGGGACAGAACATGAGACAAGACAGAAACAATACAATACACGAGGGGTTCGAAGGCCCTGCTCTTTCAAGCTTACAATCTAGGAACTAATGTTCTCTAACAAACCTCTAAGGGCTTCACAGAACAGCTGAATTTAAATTGAGATTAAAAATTACACAGGTGGATTCAATTTACTAATTAGGTGACTTCTGAAGACAATTGGCTCCACTAGATTTTAGACAGGGGTATCATAGTAAAGGGGGCTGAAAACAAATGCACCCCACACTTTTCAGACATTTGTAAAAAATTTTGAAAACCATTTGTCATTTTACTTTGTGTTGATCTATCTCATAAAATTCCAATAAACTACATTTACATTTTTGGTTGTAACATGACAAAATGCGGAAAATTTGAAGGGGTATGAATACTTTTTCAAGGCACTGTATGTGTGACACTTTTTCACTGCTTAGATGCAGAGAAGGGTCACTGCTGTGTCCCCCCCCCCCCCCATCTTCCTGTTAGTGAGCGTAAAGATGCCGTCGATCTGTCATCTTACACCTGCTTGTGCTCTGCAGCCCTATTAGTCAAACCAGATTACTGTGAGCTGTAATATTGCACCATCAGACACCTACAGCAGTGTACAGGTCTTTCAGATGTGAAAGTGAGAAATGGATTTAAAGTGTTGTTTTTAACCGTACATTAAACTGGTGCCACACACACGCACACATGCATACACACAAAACACACACGCACACACACCACCCCCATAAAAAGTTGCAGTACTTTGTAGTTCACTCACAGAGCCGGGTACTGCACTCTAGGGCAGGGGTCCTCAAACTACGGCCTCAAACATGCGGCCCGCCGAGGACATTTATCCGGCCCGCCGGCAGGGGCGTATTTGCCGTGAGGAAGGGACACTAAGTACAGGGTGGGCAGGGGGCTGCTGTATCTTACCTGGCTCTGTGTTCCAGTCTCACGACGATCCAGTCCAGGAAGCGCTGCTCCTTCATTCACTCTGGCCACGCCCTCACTCGATGTTCGCGCTAATGCTCGGCTCCGCCTCCACACCGGTGATTGGGCCCCAGAACTGTAGCTCAGGAAAGGCACACAGGCGGCCAATCACCTTCGAGGATGCGGAGCCGAGCGGCCCCCCCGCGAACATCGAGTGAGTGAGAGGCCGGTGTGAAGGACAGGTAAGTGTGCCGTGCAGATGGTGCTGCTGCAACCAGGTATGCTGGCTGCAGCAGCACCATGCTGGAACAGGGGTCAGCAAGTTAAATGTCATTGGTGTCAGTGGGAGGAATAGTGCCCCATCATTGGTGTCACTGATACGAATGATGGGGCATTATTCCTCCCACTGACACCACTGATGGGGCATACTCCTCCCCCCACTGACACCAACGATGGGGCACTATCCCCCCCCCCCCCACTGACACCAACGATGGGGCACTATTCCTCCCCCCCACTGACACAAACGATGGGGCACTATTCCACCCCCCACTGACACCAACGATGGGGCACTATTCCACCCCCCACTGACACCAACGATGGGGCACTATTCCACCCCCCACTGACACCAACGATGGAACACTATTCCTTCCCCCACTGACACCAATGATTGGGTACTATTCCTCCCCCACTGACACCACTGATGGGGCACTATTCCTTCCCCCACTGACGCCAACGATGGGGCACTATTCCCCCCCCCCCCCCCAGACACCAACGATGGAAAACTATTCCTTCCCCCACTGACACCAATGATGGGGTACTATTTCTCCCACTGACACCAATGTTGGGACACTATCCCCCCCCACTGACACCAATGACAGGGCACTATTCCCCCCACTGAAACCAATGACGCACTATTCCTCCCCACTGACACCAATGACGTACTATTCCTCCTACTGACACCAAAG